GTGGAGTGGTTGTGCCCCATCTATCTGTCTATTGTTCTTTCATTAAACATTTTAAATGCCATATTCAGCATCTCTCTGAAGAGTCTGAGGGCCATCTATCAAGTAGAAATGAGTTTAGGCTTTAGTTTGAAAATAAATAAACTTATGTGTCTTAATTGTCTGTACAGTGTAAGTTGGTAGCTTTTATAAGGCCCGAGTTTTACAGCTTTATCCATCCCTGTTAAGTTTGAGCTTTTACATTTTGAGTTGAAGATTTAATTGAGGATATTTTAGCATAAAAACAGAACTGTGACCAGGGCCCCAAGACAGCAGCAGCTCAACATGGCAGTGTTTTTCCTTTTGCTTGCCAAGCCACTGGGATGCTGTCTCTACTCAATCAATGCATTTAATCACATCTTTCCCAGAAGCCACCTTTCTAAACATCACATTCAGGTTAAGTTTCCACCCTCTTAATACTTCTCAGTAGGGATTGGGATTTTTACTCAGACGTTCTTGAGTGACACTAAAGTCATACTTGTGGTGATCAAATGAGGTGCATCTGTTCAAACACTTTGTTCTTATTTGCTGGCACTGTAGGAGCCGGTTAGAAGGGGAGCCTTGATGGAGTGAGACTATCATTGATAGCCTCGCCCCACTTCCGGTTCCCTTTCATCCTGAGTGTGGATGAGAATGTGATCATCCAGCTTTCTGCTCCTGCAGCCATGCTCCTCCTAAGGGGCTCTCTGCCTTCCCTGCCATTATGGATTCTTTCTCTCTGGAACCATAAACCAAAATGAAGTAGAAGATAAGAGTGCTGAAAGAAATGTGGACAGTAGACCCCTGGGTTGTGGGTTTTAGAAGGGAAGCCCTCTATCAGGAACAGCTACAGGACACTCATGATAATTTCATGCACACATATGTATATGTGTTTTGTCATCTCTGGAGAATCTGTGTGAGGCTGAATTTAAAAGCATTGGACTAATTTCTTTGACGAGGAAATTCCAATGCAGCATAACACTGAGTGTGTGGGTGGTGCTTACTGATAACTCGTATGCAGGTTTACAGCGAAAAGGAGCAACACGTGGGGAGGAAAATGTGCAGTTTGGAAAAGAAAAGAGCACTGGAAAGCTCAGTGCTGCAGCCACGTCAGTCTGGAAAGGAGGCTGTAATTGCAAAAGGGAAACCTTCTGAAACAGCAGGAAAAGTGTGAGAGCAAGATGTCACCAAGATAAGCCCCTAGCAGGTGAAAAGAGAGGCTGCAGGGTTCCTTGCTCCTAGAAAGCGCTGACTCAGGATGCTTTTCATCAGCTTTCAGCTTACAGAAGCCGCTGCCACTGTGCACTGGGGAGGCAATCAAACCGGACAGAGTCATTCATGTGGCCCCCGCTCTGGAGGCATGAATGGTGAAGACTGAGGAGGTCACGGACTCCTCTTCCACAGTGTCAGAGAACCACTGAGACCAGGAAATATGTGGTGGGGTTGGAGGCCCCTGCAAGGAGGCATTGAAAGGCCACTGAATGAAGCTGCGAAGGGGAAGCCTCAAGATGTTAGACATAACCCAGCCATGTCAAGCAGAACTGCATAGTTCCCAAGCGAGATGTATATTGTAGGCAGCCAAGCTGGAGTGGTGAAGCCAAGACCTGTGAAATTGAAGTTCCAGATACTGGATATGGAGCTACAGAATTTGGGATTTGCCTTGCTGGGCTTCCATCTTAATTTGATTCATTGTCTTCTCACTGTACCCTTTTGCCTCCTCTTTTGAACATGAATTCCATGCCATTATATGTTGAAGGTATATGTAAACACACATCTATCTGTCATCCATCCATCCATCCATCCATCTACCTATCTCTAATTTATCTCTCTATACATAATTTTACAGGGTACCAGACTTGTCTTGAGTCTGAGAAGAAACTTTGGGCCTTTGAACAGTTAAACATTAAGGAGCCTTTGGCATCATAAGGTCTCAGTGAACCAGTGGAGGCCAGGGCAGAATGTGGTTTGAGTGAGAAATGTCCCCTATAGGCTTGTGCATTTAAATTTTTCTTTCCTGGTTGGTAGAGCTGTTTGGGAAAGTTGTGGGAGCTTTAGGAGTTAGAGCTTGTTGGAGGAAGTGTGTCACTAGGAATCGGCTTTGAAATTTTGATGGTTTGGTCCTTCCTCCTGTTCTTTCTTTCTCTGTGTTTCCGGTGTGGATGAAGATGTAATCAGCCAACTTCCCTCTCCTGTTACCAAGCTTTCTCTGTCTTGCTCTTCCTTCCCTGTCACGATGGACCCTATCCATCCCTCTGGAACTGTAATCCAAAACGAACCGTCTCTTCCCTAAGTTGTCTTTGGTCATAGTATTTACTAGAGCAGGATGTGTGCAATTGGCATATTTCCTGATTCTGTCCCCAGCTAGCTAAATTATCTCAGGACACTTTGTCTCCAGATCTTACTTCTTTCCCTTTAAAATGAAGCAGTAATTCCACACTGGGAACAGGAATGGAGATAAGCTTCTGAATCTACTGTTGCATATCAAGAACCTAGCAGAGCACACAGATTCATAAAAATTCTGTACCAGACTGCCTGCAGGTGGTGTTACCGTGTGCTGCCATCTAGTTCCAGAACACTTGCAAGGAAAACAATTACCTAGTAGAATTTCAGCATTGCTCCTGACAACCAGATGATTAGAGAAGGACCCCAGCATCATGTGATTAGGAGTTTAGCCATAGAGAGGTGGAGAGCAGTAGGAAGCAAGTAGAAGAGTTTAAATTTGGGGATTATCATTAAAAAAGAAAAACCTGGAAGAGTTTTATTAGTCAAATGAAGGCATTGCCAGGATAACCTCAGAAGCTCTTTCTAGTTTACAATCCCCCCACAAGGGAGATTTCTTTGTACAACTCTACTCACCAGGAGAGGTATATAAAAGACTGAAGAGTGACTAAATGAGATACAACGTTGTCCATTCAAGTTGCCCAAATTGCACTTGGGAGAGAAAGATGTAAGTGATGTAAGAAAGCAGGAATAAAGAATTCCTACCTGAAGAAACTGGCACTACTTAAAAGCGCTCATACTAAAGTGTTGTCGTTTGGATTTTTTTTTTTTTTTTTTTTTTGAGACAGGGTGTCTCTTTGTAGTCCCGGCTGTCCTGGAATTAGCTGTGTAGACCAGGCTGGCCTCGGCTTTCAGAGATCTGCCTAGTCTCTGCCTCCTGAGTACTAGGAATAAGGCTGTGAGCCACCACACCCAACTCACATTAAAAAATACTAAAAATAAAATTAATTATGAAAGTAGACTCTGTTTTCACAGAAACGTGGTGGGGGGACACAGAAACCCAGTAGAAGCTGCAAGGGGTGATAACTTTTGATGGCAACATCACACACAGTGGTGGGATGCAAAAAGAGATTTGTAAGTGGCTTATGAGAATCAGGAAGTGGACAGAAAAGCAGCTCACTTAACCTGGGTTGACATCTGAGCTTGGAGCAATACCATGGCCCACATGTATTATAATTAGTAAGTCCCATTGAAAGAGTACTTTTAGAGACTAGCAGTTTCCTCCCCAATTCTCTGGGCCTTCAAATCTAGTTGTTAGCCCCCACCCCCACCCCCCAGCTTAGACCCAGAAGGCAGTTCTATTTGTGGCATACAGAATGGCTGTCAATGAATTTTAAAAATGCATACTTCAGTCCTTGTGTGTGGTAGTGTATTAAAAGGTAGCAGCTAAAATAACTTGGACATCCATGCCTGTGCTAGATCTTATCTGCCTTTTCTGTCTTTTCCACTTAGTTCTCATCCTAGAAGATAGGCCTATGTAGATGACAGCATCAACCCATCCGCTGACCCCCCTTTCCTGTGAGGATTGTGATATCCGCACTTCAGAGAGAGGCATTGAGCAAAAGAACCCTAGTTAAGCTTATCAACCTCCAACAAGGGCAAGAGTCTTGTATGGTTTGCAGGTGTGTGTGTGTGTGTGTGTGTGTGTGTGTGTGTGTGAGAGAGGAGAGAGAGAGAGAGAGAGCACCAGCTTATAGCTTGCCCAATTAAAATGAGCAGAAAGGGATAGCACCTAAATGAAATGGACTCAAGTTCAGAAGGATGCTCACAAAATGGGAAGCAGAGAGGAAAGGAGGTGAGGTTAGAAGAACAAGGCAGAGGAAATGCACCCACAGAGAGGAATTCAGCATGCTAGGGGAAACTAAGAAGGGACTCTGTATCACCAAGTTTTAAGAATTGAAACTTCCAGAGAGAAGTAGAGACAGAGTGTGGTTCACATCACATGGGATTGTGAGGGCTTCTGCCGGACATGATAGGGTCTCCTGTGGCTGGCAGTGGAACAAGGGCTGGATCTCATTGCTGGGTACTCGATTTTAACCACAGCTGGGCACAGTCTACTCAGTGGCAGAAAGGAAATAGCGGGGCGGGCCGAAAACAATTAGTAATAAGATGTTAGGCAGGCAAGAAAACATCCTGTGAGGGGATGCTGATGCTGGTGGCCTCCATGGTGCATTGTTGCTGTTTAATGGTTGAGGGATGATGATTATGTTTACAGGGTGTGGCTAAAAAAGACCAAGATGTTTATCAAGTACCGAACACATGGAATTTTGACTGTTAGAATTTATGAGTACAACTTCTCATGGGGTATATTGTCTAAGGAGATTTATAAGTAGGCTTCTTTGGACTTCTTCCCCCAGATAACCAAAGCTAAAAGTATTTTCAGAAAGCACTGCATTTGGATTAGGGCCCTATAGCCAGTTCGCATGAGCAAAGAAGATACCAAGGTCCTACTCACTTTCACAGGACTAATTATGGGCTGCAGCCCCTGCACGAAAGACGGAGAAATCTTTAAGGGGAAGTGGGAAGAAAAATGAGGAACAAAACTGCAAGAAAGAGGTAGAGAAGAGATGTTTATGTTGGCTAACTTTTCGTTATTGGTTCCTGAGTGCGTTAAAAGAAATTAATATGTGGTGAACAAATAGAAAAAAGTAAGAGAAGAGAAAAGAATGGATTCTCACTATTTTATTCCTATTGCTATTACATAGGTATTAATCCATCTTGGAGATGACTCAGCCAATAGAGTGCCACATGCATGCAGACCTGAGTCCAGAGCCCCAATACCCATGCAAACAACGAGGCCTGGCAGTGCAAGTGGTAACCCCAGAGATGCAGATTACAGGCACAAGCTTCCTGTGCAAAACCAGCAAGACCAGCAAAACCTTGAAGCCTGTTGGCCAGTCAGCCTGACTGAACCTATGAACTTCAGGTCCGGTGAGAGACCCTGCCTCAAAAAATAAACATGGAGAATGATCAAGGAAAGACATCTGGCATTGTCCTCTACCCCACTCTGTGCTTGCATGCACATGTATGTGCATATCAATACACTCATACACACTAACACTAATGTACACCATGCACATACAACAAAAGCCACATGCCCCACCCCTACCAAATACAACCCCTCCCCAAAACAAAACCAAACTGAACTGGTGTTGCCAAAAAAATTGGAAGATCGCCTTTCTTGGTTTAGGTGAGCTAAAGTTAGGGCACCACCTTCCAATCACCTTCCAGACAACCAAAGAAAATCAGAAGAATATTAAGAGGGATTTTAATGAAACTGGAGAATAGGAAAACAACAGCTTGCTTTGCAAGAGGCAAGAGGGCAGGTGAACTAGGAAATTAACAAAAAACGAATTGCCTGCGTCCACCAAGTCCTTGTCCATTGAGGCTTTTACCAACTTGGGCACATTCTGTCTAGGTCTATGTATTCCTTGAACTTTTGCTCTACTTCCCTTGGCCAACTTAGGAAGAAGTAATTAGCCATGCTCTGGTGCTATCAGTTTTAACTTTGCAGCTGGCTAACAGTTGTTCTGTGAGAGTCCATCGTGTTTCTTACTGTGGCTTTATAGTTTAGCTTGTGTTAGCATTGGGCCAGGAGTGATAATTAATTCTTTTTACTGGTATCCGTTGATCCTTCAGTTTTGAGCCAGCTTAAAGCCCCTGCTTCTGGTCATCTCTGACTCCACAACTATAAGCCCCAAGCCGCTGTTTTGGTCCATTTCTCACTAAGCAGCCAAGAGGACCTGCTTGTTAAATGGTTAATGGTGGAAACTGCAGGTTTGAGCTGAGAGAACCGAGAGAACTGGCCTCCTTTCTCCATAGATCTCCCTTCCCCCACTTAAGTATAGGAACTAGAAAGCTAAAAGGCATAGTATCTGAGAGGACATATGCTCTCTTGTTGTTTTATCTGACTTTTTTCTTTTTCCTTTTTCTTTTTTTTTTTTTTTTTGGTTTTTCGAGACAGGGTTTCTCTGTATTGCTTTGGAGGTTGTCCTCGAACTCGCTCTGTAGACCAGGCTGGCCTCGAACTCACAGAGATCCGCCTGCCTCTGCCTCCCAAGTGCTAGGATTAATCAACGCCCAGCTTAATCTGACTTCTAACACTTTCCTTACTAAAATACATTTCAACATTGGGTTAAAATTTGACATTGGAAAATTACCTGCTTGCATTTCCCTGTAGTTATTCTATAAATGGATGCTCAACCAAGGAGCAGTGAACACCAGGAATTCCAAGTAAGCATTCCTCAAATGAGCAGATGGAGGCCAGAGAACAGTGATGCATGCTGTAACATGGGAGGACCAAATTAGCTGTTTCCACTTGTAGTCCTCAGTGGCGTACCTGTCTGCAGACTATCAAATGGTGAAGGCCAATTGATCGACTGGGCACAAACCACACCCCTTTCTCACTTATTTTTGTTTTCCAGTTATTTAGACTGAGGCTAGCCTTGAACTCCTGAACTCAAGGGATCCTCTGTCCCAGCCTGTTGAGTGGCTAGGACTGTAGACATAGGCAACCAAAGGACCTCTTAAATGAATTTAAAAATTTTTAAAGGCCTGCTTGCCTTTCAACCTGTTGAATACCAAGAGTCCCTATTGGAGTCAGAGCTGTTCTGGGCAGCAAGACCGTGGACACCCCCAGCAGTCTGATGGCTAGGCCAAGGGGAGGTGAGAGCAAGCCTGCTGTGCCTAAGGCTGCCTTCCTACCCTCCTCCTCATCCTGCCCAGCTAATCTCCTCTTCCCACCCTCTTAGAATTCTCTTCCTTCCTTTGCCTAGTCAGCTGCTCTCAAATCCTCTGCATGGCTCTGGATACCTCACCTCTTCTCCCAGCTTCCTTTGCATAGGCTGAAGATGACCTGGAGTTGTTCCCTCTTCTCCTAGGTCCCTGGTCCCACTCTTAGGTGCAGCCTCTTTCATGCAGATTCCCGAGACTAGGATACTTGAGCTCCCAGGACCACTGGTGGTTGTTTCCATTCTGTATTGTAACTGCCTGGCAGCCTCTCTCCCTCCACGCCCCCCCACCCCTCCCAGAACAGGGGCTGTCCTTTGTCTTCCAGTGTTTTATACACAGCATAGAAACATCTGTGCATAGTGTACTCCAGGGTGATGCAGAGCCCCTGTAACTGGGGGCTCTGTCAATATTTACTGAATGAACGAGTGTGTGACTGCTTGACTCAGTTATTCACGTTTCTGTGTTACATGCCTGTTGTTTACACTGTTTGTCTCAGATTTGTCTTCCTTATTTATGACATGAGTCAGATTTGTTTGAGTCTAGACAGACTTGAAGTTCAGAATTCTGTAGAGGAAATGATTGCAGGTCTAGCACTAAGTAAAAATCATAGCAATGGAGAGGTGTCTGGCTCATTCCTTGTCGTGGATTACTGACTGAGAATTCCAGCGGCAGATGCTATCCTAGTTGGCTGGGAAACAGCACGCTTTCAGAGACAGCTCACAAAATTGGCTTTGTATGTCCCCAGGAGACAGGTTGTGCTTTGGATGTCAAATGACTCAACTGGTCAATCTTCCTCCCCCCAAACACTCTCTTTCAGCTGGAGAAATTCACAACATAGAGACAGCCATGTTTTGTGATTCATATTTTCAAGACCTTAGGAATTTTCCCAGAGGCACCTCCGTGCTGATCCTTTCAACAGCCCAGCAAACTTGGTTTTCACCTCAGCTCTTCACTGAGACTTCAGAAAGAGGTTTTAATATCTCCGATTTGACTTAATCATGGTCTGTGAACCCCACGAATTGCCCCATATTCACAATATAAAAATGGTCCATTTCACAGGTATTGGTTCCTCCAAGAGTTCATTTCTATCCACTTCAAATGAGGCTCACACTCACTTGCAGAAGAGGGCAAAAGGTGGTTTTGAACCTGGCGTATTTCACAGTCTAGTACAGGCAACCCCATTCAAGCTCTCTTCTCTAAGCATCAGATCTCATTTCTGAGCCCAGCTGACATGGTCCCAGCGGGGACTTACTATGAATTCTAGACATGCCAACATCAAGGAAGTTGTATTCTCTCTCAAGCAGGAGGTAGGAAAGGCAGTGGGGTTTCCCTCTCAACACTCAGGGGGCACATTTTTAACTCACATGATTTTGTCCCTACCCTTCAGGTCCAAATGCCCTTAAGTACAAGAACCCCATTTTTAGTCGTTGAACTCTGTGCCAGCTTGAGAATTAATTTCTCCCTTGGCTGGTTTCAATGCACTTGACCACAGGTTATATTTCTCGCTCGATCATCCCTTAACTCAAAATAAAATTAAAAAGTAAACTGCATGAAAGCCTGATGGACACTCTTACATATGAACTAAGAGAATCTCTCAAAAGCAAATATGGTTCTGGGGTGGGAAGGACAGAGACAGGATCAAGCCAATCTTGATTAAACATGGCCAGTTAGACAGCAAGCCTAAGAAATAGATAATTGCATGGAACTTTTTGTTTATGATAGGAAGCTATGTGGCTAGCCACTAAGTATTTTGTTTTATTAATTTTGGTTTACAGATACACGTTTGTTTTGGATTTGACAAAAGCTGAAAAGGAGTAGCTTGCAATTAAGTTATTTCCTTTTATAGTATAAATAATCCAAACTGGTAGCATATTGGCTGATGGCCAGCTCCACTTACAAATGTCCAAGCCAAGATTTGCTCTTCCCTTTTTTCCAAAACCGTGGTTAGGAGCAACTGCGTGCCTTCTTCCCTTATAAAGGCTTGAGCTATAAAGGAACGAAGGGAAAAGGGGGAAGCTTGTCTGTCAGCAGGATCACCAAATGTTCCATTCCAGAAAGCCAACTGGCACGCAGTCGGTCACTCAGAGTGGAAAGGCCGTGAGACACCTGGATCAGGTGCATCCTTCCTGAGTTGACGACCAGGAGTCATTTACTCAGCTGCTCTCAACAGTCCCCCCAATTCCCCTGCAAATCGTCTGCCAGGCACCATCAGGTGGCTCCAAGAATAGCTTTTGAAGCAAAAATATCCACTCCTCTTTCCTGTCTCTCATGCTCAAAATACCATCATTAAGTATTTCTGTGTGCATATTGAAGAGTCAAATTCGAAAGCCAGAGATTGGGACCCAGCTTTGCAATTGTGGCAAGTTATAGATCTCTTTCTTGTGTATAAAATCTGATTTATAATACCATTCTTCCAGTCATTGTGAGCGTTAAACAAGATGTTAGTTGCTTCCAAGCTCTGCGTATATAAACATTATCTTGGGGGTTTGGTCAAGGTGTTATTAGATTTCCTTCACATGATAATGCAGACCAACTTCTTTTGTAAGTGCAAAGAGGTGTAATAATAATTGCTGAATTATTACAATAATTCAGCAAATATAATAATAAAATATTATAATAATAATTGCCTGAATAATTGCTTTCATCCTGGGTACTCCTGGACTGGTTAATATTTTGAGTGGTAAGTGGCTTTTTTGGTTTGTCTTCTGTTCATATAACACAATACCTGGGATATTTGCAAAGGAGAGAAGTTTATCTGTCACAGTCTTAGAGGACAGGAGTCATCTTATGAGAGCTTCCTGCTGGGGAAGACTTTGCAGAGGCTCAGGCAACAGCGGGCTTCAGAGAATGAAATATGGAGCAAGCCAGCCAGAGGCCATCACTTCTTTTACAAAACCATTCTACCCATAACCATCATTCCAGGAACTCAAAAAGAGATTAATCCATTCACTAGGACTCTGGCAATCACTTTCCACAGGTCCTGCTTTTCAAATACCTTTAATATATGACTTTGGGGGTTAAGTTTCCAACATGTGAAATTTGGGGAAACTTTCAAATTATAGCACAGTCCGTTGCTCATCAGGGAAGAGTGTAGGGCTAAAGAAACAGTCCACAGCCTTTGCACTTTGTCATGTTGATTGTATGAAGTAGTTGCCAGTGCCCCCATTTTACAGATGAGGAAATCAGAAGCAAGGCTGAGGAAAGTTGAAACTCTTGTTGTGTATCATCAGCTGAACAA